CTTACTTTTTTTTAGATTGTAATCTCTTTGAAATACAGCTTCCAGAATTCTAACATTTCCCAAGAAATTTATTTTTTCCTCATGAAAAGTATTACTAAGGACAAGAAGAAAATAGTACAATGTCAAAGGTTTATTTTGGCCAAAATTTCCCAGAAATGTAAATGGGTTGAGGGCCCATGTTACCAGAGTTTTATATTTTATCAATCTACTCTTGTGTGGTTCCTGTTGAAGCATATATTGTGAGGGGGGGCCGCCATCAATGGGATTCTCCTAGTTATATAAATTTCCCATTTGATAAAGCACCTTCTAAAGTAGAGCATAAATAAAATTCATAAAAGAAATGAATATTAACCACTAAACATTGGATGGCATAATTAAAAGATATCTTTTATTAGATCTTACACCAAGCCAACATAACAGAAAAAAAAGGCAAATTCACAAACTGCACCTGTTTAGATCTCCTTCGGTACCTCCTCTTTTTCAGGCAAAGTTGAAGCTTCTGATCAATCTTTTTGTCATCTTCCTCCTTGACCTGTTGATGTATGCAATTATATGACCTCCAGTCTACAGAACATTCGTTGTCACAGAAACATTAACAGGTAGCTTAACTATTATGTTAGTGAAATACTTGTAGCGACACTGTCATTTCTCTTTTGATGAAAATGAAATAATGTTTGATAAAAGTGGAGAAGAGAACGTCAATGGAGGTGATGTCTTCGCAAATAAAGACACAATAAAAGACAAAAATATTAAAAGATAGTGTAAATATCAAGGGCAACAGATCCCCTAGAACAAAGAAAAGACACAAATGGAGAAAGTGAAATCCAATGTAAAAATTGCAGCAAATGTCTTTGCAAAATAGACAAAGATACTGCCTATTTCAAACTGGAGGGTTATTTACGTTCCCCCAGACAGAAAGACAACTACTTTGTTATGCGAAGTAATAACAAAAGTAAAGAAGAATACACTAATGTGAAGGACATCCTGTTTATTTGCAAGAAAAAATAAGTACACTTCAAAATTTAGGGGCACCAAAAATCAAACATATTTGAGCAAACTACAAACTACGAACAGATTATATGAAGCATATATGTGCATGTTTTATAATGTGTCAAAAGTACTAACAACCACTAAATCTGATTTCCATAGCCGGTCAGCTTTCTACTTTAGCATCCAAATAGGTGGGACGGACAGCAACTTTTCAATCAATAGATCATCAACCATCTAAAAATATGTAGAGGAAAACACATGCAAAGTTATGTACATGTACATACATGTGTAAGCATTTTCGTTTCTCAGTCTGCAGTTATGCAGTTAGGAACTTGCTTGAAAACACAATTCCCACTTTTTCATCAAGAGATGCATCAATGCAAAGAGAATGATACCATTACTGAGAAGCTACTAATGCAAGACTTTTAAACAGGAAAAAGGTAAGAAGATTCCATAATTCACTTGTTCATCAATAGATGCACAGAATACAGAGAGAATGATTTCATAAACTCAGAAGCAACTACTACAAGACTTTCAAAGGAGGAGAAACGTAAGAAGACTTACTGATTTAAAGGTTTCCAAGAAATGGCAAAAAGAATTTAGTTATAATGATCAGACCACCCTAGCCCTATTTACTAGTGGGTTTTTTTTGTTATGTTCATATATAATCAGCATCCAAATGACTGTTCTACCAGAAAAAAAAATTGAAACAGTTGACAGACCTTCCTAAAATTTTTCCTTTGTTCATCAGAAAGAGTTCCTCCTCTTTCATTTGCAATGGCATCAGCAATAAATGGATCATCCAAATTGATATCAATGTCATCAATCTCTTCCACCTGAATAACATTGAACAACCAGAATAGATTGCATTATTGTAGATTGCAGCCAGTTTTTTTCAAGAGGAAAATAAGACAGCAAGCAACTCATATTGCATTATGAGAGATATCAAGTGAGACCAAATTCATGAGAAAGATTTTAGGTTGGATAAGCCGTGTAAATCGACAATCATTCAGCCTATTTATAGGTTTTCTTTGGACTAAAGTATAAGTAGAAAGAGAAGAGCAGAATACAACAAAAAGAAAAGCAATAAACATAAGGAGCAAAATAAAGAAAATGAGAAAAACAGAATGGCAACACAATCCTTTGACATTAGAATTAAAAAAAAACCCCAAAAACCTGGGAACCTTATCCAAAAACGAAGCGAGAAACACCACCCTATCCCAAAAAACAAACTTAATTGGACTTTTGTTTAAAACTTCTCATGTTCCATTCTGTTCTGTTACAACCTTAATGTAAATTATGGGTCTTCCCCTCCTCCCTTGTCTTTCCACACCTCCAATTGTTGCTTCAACAATGCGTTCCACAGATAGGCTCTTCTAAAGACCTCCCTCACTCATCCAAGAATCAGAGGATTCTATTTTCATTATTGAAACAAAAATACTAAAATAAGAAACGTGTCTAGCACGATCAACAACTTTACCATCAAAATCACTAAACCGAAAGGACTTGCAATATAAATGATGGCGAAAAAAAACTTCATTCTTTATTTTGACCATTACTTACTGCAAGGAGAAAATATGTTGCAAAACTATTTGACATCAGTGCAATTATTGATTGACAGAAAGAACCAAGAAAGACAAAAGACAAACTATTTATGAATATAGCAAGTTCAAAGGTAGGATAACAAACACTCTCATTGCACGCACAAAAATATTGCTTTCAGATATATCGAGATTAGACACTAATAAAGGAGCCACAAACTTGAACCAAACTAAACTCCTACCACCAGCAGTAAAGCATACTATAGAATGCAATATATGATGCAAAATTTAGCCATTACGTAAACTCCTGGGCTATAAAAGCAGAAATACTTAATATAACGCAAGGTGACCTCATCTACTCCAGGAAATTTGAGTCCCATGATGGCAGCCTGCTGTGGAGTGCTAGCCAAGTAAACTTCAGCCCAGCACTTGCTGCCAAACGAGACAGGAAGCTCAGCTACATTATCAGAAAATATTTTATTGAGAGAGGACCAGTCAATTACAGAATCTCCTGCTGGAGCCTCATTTCTACCATCATCAGCAAGTTTTTTTTGAAGAAACCCACTGGCACCCTCCTCCAATAGTTTACCATGTCGCCTGAACTCATAATAGACCCATATAAGTCAAATATAAACAAAGAAGAATGTCAAATGCATAGGACAGAAAACAACCTCCTGACAGGTCGGTGGGTTTGAAGATACTTCTCAGCTTCAGCTATTGACTCAATAGTTTCATTGCTCACCTGAGATCCTACCCAGTGAGCTCTTTTCCTCCAAGCTTCAGTGCAGCAACCATTAGGAGCTTGACCTTCAATCAACTTATAGAGGCTTGGTAACTCAATCCCAGCCCCATCAAGTTGTTCCTGTATAGAGAAAGTCATGGATGAAATCCAGGAATATGACATGTTTATACATTCTCAGGAAGAAGAAAAAATAGAATATCATGCCAGGGACTCAGGTTGAAGAAATTAAAATGTCAAAAGCAGAGCCCAGCTTTCTTCACAGATCCAGGCCACTTAGGACATGTCCCGGGGAGCAGCATGGAGAAATCAGTAAAATCTTCCTTTTCATTTAAAAAAAATACTATTAATACGGCACAAAGGAAGCATTGTCCAAATGTAGAAATCACTTTGACATTAACAAATATACATTTCAAAGAAAGGGGCAATGTGAAGAAAGTCATTCCAAGAATTTGGTTATGAAAGGCAAGACCAAAAAAAGCGCTTAACTGAAAGGTGGGGCAGCAGTGAACAATTCCTAGCAAGGCAGACATGGAAAGTGAAGTCGACCCCTAGAGTGGCCCTTCTTTTGCTTGGGAAGCAGCTGGGAGGTATTCTAACTTCGCACAAGTTGATCAGGAGGGGAAAATTCTGGTAAATGGCTGTTTTTATGTGCAAAGAAATGCAAAACCATGCAAGCAAATAATCCTCTGATGCCCGTTTGCTTTTCGCCTTTGTCTTTGGTTTATAGCTTTCTGAACTGACTTGGGTTCTTGCTGGCCTTGTGAAGAGGACTATGGGTGCGGGAA